CGCCGCTTCTGCCGTGAGCGCTCCTAAAGGCTCGTGAATGAAAGTTTAACCATGAAACCATCCCGTTAAGTTCGACACGGCACTCCCCACAAACGCCTAGGAAAGGGTGTTACGGCGGAGCGTCCAGAAAGAAAAGCTGGGTTGAGATCAGTGTTCCCTCTAAGCTGAGTCAGCGTGAGCCGGCTCACAGTTTCTTAGCCTCCGGCTCACACATTTTTGCCTTAGCTCAGGAAGGAGGGCTCCAAAGGCAACTGATTTCTGCAGTAGCCAAGTCGCTCGCTCAGAACTCTAATGCCAGGAGCTCACAAAGTAGCTCACCATACTCCTGGCTCACAGTTTCTTAGCCTCCGGCTCACACATTTTTGCCTTAGCTCAGGAAGGAGGGCTCCAAAGGCAACTGATTTCTGCAGTAGCCAAGTCGCTCGCTCAGAACTCTAATGCCAGGAGCTCACAAAGTAGCTCACCATACTCCACAGCTTCGAGGGAGCATTGGTTGGGATTCATTCAGACAATTCCAAGAGGGGGGGGGGCACAGAGAGGAGGAGGTTGGGCAAAATCCCTCCCCCCTCGTTGCACTTCTGTGCCCACCGTTCCCAGGTGGGCTTGTTGGGGCTGAGCGAAGACCCCCCCTCCTCCCCGCTGCAGCTCCATTGGCATTTTGTCCCCCCGAATCCTCACAATCCCAGTCACCAGTTTTTTTCGGAGCTGCCAGGACAGGGAGGAGTGAGCAAGATCTTCCCACGAGCACTTTGTCAGTCAGCCTTCGCGCGCTCTTATGTTCTTATTTAAATTGCTTTTAGTTGAATTTATCTCTATCATAATTGTTTTGTGTATTCCCGTAAGCAAACCTGAGCCTGCTCCGGCAGGGAAGGTGGGGTAGAAATCAAATAAATAAATAAATCTTTTGACCCTTCTTCTCTCTCACGGCAGGGACTCCCTGTGGCTTAAAAAGCACACAAGATGAAATAGCTTTTTTAAAAATAGACAATTTGATAAGCCACTGTCCAGGATTAAGCCCCTATAGCCAGTCCAGGGGTGAGAGGTAATCCTGTACTTTTGCAGTACATTAAACAACAAACCACGAGATGGTCTATACCCACTCTGGTTTCAGAACCATCTGCCACCAGAACCTCTACAGAAGTTCCCCCCAATCTGAGATTAGAGGTTCAAATTCTCAGCTGGTATCTGGAACTTAACACATTAGCACCTCTACTCAGAGCTGCACACTTTACGCTTAATGGTAGCTTGTGGTCAGCTTAGGCACAGGATTGGAGCATGGGATGAGCGGCAATAGGGTTGCCAACTTCCAGGTGTGGTGGCTGGAGGTCTCCTGGGATAGAAGAAGAAGAGATTGGATTTATACCCTGCCCTTCACTCAGAGTCTCAGAGGGGCTTCCAATCTCCTTTCCCTTCCCCTCCCCACAACAGACACCCTGGGAGGTCGGTGGGGCTGAGAGAGCTCTCTCGAGGACGGCTCCTGAGAGAACAGCTCTGACAGAACTATGGCTTGCCCAAGGTCATCCAGCAGGTGCAAGTGGAGGAGTGGGGAATCAAACCCGGTTCTCCCAGATTAGAGCCCGCGCACTTCACCACGACACCAAACTGATCAGCCGTTCCCCTGGAGAAAGCAGCCATTTTGGGAGATGGATTCTGGGGGTGGGGATTATACCTGGCCAAGTTCCCTCCCCTCCTCAAACCTCACCCTTCCCAGGCTCCGCCCCCAAATCTCCATGAATTTCCCAACCTGGAGTTGGCAACCTGAAGCTGCAACGTCATCTCATGCTGGTGGTTCTGCCACTGTGGGTTCACACTTGGCCACAGCTGCGGGCCATGGACCAGGAGTCCTTCGGCCAGACCTTAAAGAGGGAGAGATGTTCAGCCGAAGGTCTCTCATTCCGCCGCCGAAATGTTCCCAGTTCAGACGCATGTAAAGCTTTACGAGTGAGAGTCTGTAAAGACTACCCTGCTCAAGAGCTCTGTAGAGGCGAGTAACCCAGGCTCAGCCAGGGGGCGTCTTCCAGAGCTGTACAGGGTGCAGAAACAGAACAGAGAATGGAGGAGAGGGAGGACTTCTCTGTTTCTGATGCGATTATGTTTTCCGTCTCCCGGTTTGGAGTTGGGATGGCCAGCTTGGACATCTGTGGAGCTACGTGGTCCGCAGGCCCCCGTCCAGAATTCCGGTCTCGCCTCCCAGCCCCGCCCCCTCGCAGATGGCTCGACCATCTGTGCGTGGGTGGGTTGGGGTGGCAACGCAGACGTCTGGCCACGGGACTCCTGTCGGAAGGCTACCGTGACCCCGTCTTATGAAGAGAGCGCTAGTTTACCCCCCCACCCACACACACACACACAACTCAGAGATTATAATACAGTATATATCACAGCTCCATGGAAACATTTTGATGCTTCTTACAAGTGAGATTCTGATCTGACAGGCTGACTGAAATTCGGTAGGGCCCTCGGGGGGGGGGGGCTGGGGGTCGTTCCCAAGTAGGGTTGCCAGTTTGGTGCAGTGGTTAAGGGCACGGACTCTAATCTAGGAGAACCGGGTTTGATTCCTACACTTGCACCTGCTGTATGGCCTTGGGCAAGCCGTAGTTCTGATAAGAGCTGTCCTTGGGAAAAGAGCAGTTTCTGTCGGAGCTCTCTCAGCCCTGCCTACCTCACAGGGTTTCCG